CGGTTGCAGTACGACGTGGCGGACTCATGCTCTCCCATCTCGAGGTTAGTGAGCGCCTGCTCTAACTGACCTATATACAAGTCATCTTTTGCCATGTACGTTCGCATGATGAACTGCCAAGCCTGCAACCCGGCATCTACTTTCAAGCGACACGCTTTAAGAGCGACTTGTATACGTTAGTAACTGCGCAGCTCAAAATTGCATGAGAAGTGCTGCTACGTGCGTTGGAGGAGTAGGGGTGGAGCCGTGGATAAAGCGTTTGAGCTGAGCTATCTCGAGCTGAGGCTCAATTGATTCTACCCAAGATGACAGGTCGTGACACCCTTCTAACGGCCTAGGCACGTCGATCGTGTATGGAGTGAATTTAAAGTAGCCGTAGTCAGGCGCTATCCCAACGTCTCTCGCCGCAAAGCTTTGCGGTATTTTGCCAGGCATATCGTCGCTATCGCGCTCCTCTACTTGTCTATCTCCAGCAGCTCTTCACCGCCCTATCTCGTCGCGCTCACGCAATGCTGCCACTTCATGCACACGCTCCTGAACGCCACCCATACTAGGAGTGCTACCGTGTACATATCCTCTGAGAACGCCACAAGCGAAACGCCTCTCGCTCGCCACACTAGCTCTATCGTCGTCGTCGCTAGACGTCGCCCACGCACTTTGCAAAATTCCAGCTTGTGTGTTCTGTGCTTCAGGAGGAGAAGGGTGGTCACAACGCCACCTCGCTCGAATCCCTTCCAGCATGAGCTCATAATCCTCATTGGCAAGCTCGCCGCGAGAACAACGCGTGTGAAGAATCGCCTCTAGATCGTGCAGTTCATTGACGTCAACGTTCGCCTCCTCCACGTTCGCCATTATTGCGGCTCCTCTACAGACCAACTATCAGCTAGCACAAATTGCTATTCACTTAAATCCCTCGTCTCGAGATCACCTCACAAGGGTCCTCAAGAGAATGGTAAGTGCATACCAAACACCCTAACCTTGGGTCCGAGAACGTAACTGGAGGGAATTTAAATAAATTGCAACTTACACCAATGATAGTCCTCGGCTATAGCTGCAGCCTCCAAGACGAACGAACGTAGTAGATTAGCGACGGTGAAAATAGATACTCGCGTGTTCGATCCACGCTCACAGCACCATGAAGGAATACTAAGGCGAGAGCGCTTGTTAAGTGTGGAGAGATTCTGGCAGAGTAGCGGTATAGAAACAGCGTGCTACGCACTGGTGGTATTTGGGCAGAGTTGAATTCAAGTACTTGGTCGAAATTCGAGTACAGTAGAAGTTCACTAGAAAAGTATATATGAAGTACAAGCAAGCAAGCAAGCAAATATATACGCAAGTGATATCCAACCAGAGTTGCGTGGCGCTGCGGGTGTAACCAACCACCCCGAAATTGCCGAAGGGTTGAGCGAACACGCCTCTCCCAAGTCCCCAATCCCAACTCAGCAAGGTTGGGATTGCCGTGTACGCAACCCCAACCAGCAAGGCAAATCCGCCTTGCTCTGCACGGAAGTCCCTTGCGCTGGTTGTGACCACCCAAGACTCGTCAGAGTCGCATGTCGTCGTACACATCTCTGAACTAGTCAAACATAGCCTAGACAATTCTTAGGTTGCTAGGACCAGTCCGAGTCTCTTGGTTATGGCAACCCGCAGCTGCCAGGCATTTGGCGTGCCGTCACCTAACGGTTGGCACCGACACAAGCCGTTCAACGCCTGGCCACCCGCAGCTGTAGTAGGGCCTTGAACACTCCCCTACACCACTACAGCAAGGCCCTTTATAATCACAAGGCACACAGACACAAGCATACAAGCCAAAAAGGAACACAAAGCACACAAGCAAGGGTCCTATGCATCACCACTACACTTGCAAGGTTTCTCCATCTGAAACACACACCGCACCAGCCATGGATAGGCCATGGCACCATCACAAGCGGAAACCTACGTAGAGCCAGAAGCATACGCACAGATACGAATCTCTCTTGAGAATTTTGGCAATGAGATTATTTACCGAACACTGCCGTCAATAGTGAGAGTGTGATGAAGGGAGAGAGTGTGAGGCAAGGGAGAATGAGGGGAATGGAGAGTGTGAGAGGGAAGAGAGAGTGTGGAACAAGGAAGATAAAAATGGGAACAGAGAGAGAGGGGAAGTGCTAGAATGAGAGGCAAGGGAGCGGTTAAGAGGCAAGGAAGAGTGAGGCAAGGATGAGTGAGGCACGGATGAGTGAGGCACGGATGAGTGAGGCACGGATGAGTGAGGCACGGATGAGTGAGGCAAAGAGGGGAATAGGTGGAAGAGAGAGAGAGGGAGAGCGCTAGACTGAGAGGCAAGGGAGCGGTTGAAAGGCAAGGAAGAGTGAGGCAAGATAGAGTGAGGCAAGTAGGAGTGAAGCAAGGAAGAAAAAAAGGGGAAGAGGGAGAGAGGGGAAACTCTAGACTGAGGCAAGGGAGCGGTTGAGAGGCAAGGCCGAGAGGGAGGGAAGAGAGAGAGTGAAAAAAGGGAGTGAGTGAGAGGCAAGGGAGAGTCTGAGAGCGCCGCACAAGAAGCTGATAGCATTGGCTGGTCCAGCTCCCATGTCATCGAACGTGGATAATCTCCAGGGAACAACAGATTTCAGAGCCGGATGCCCTGTTGTGTTTCACTTGGCGCAATGCAACGCCAGAAAATAGTGCATAACGCAGATCTGGGAGGTTGCATTGCAGCACAGAGTGTGGGGAGACCTCTTTTGCAAGCTGAGCCTCTCTTGATTGCCCCAGCCAAACAACCTGACCCCCATTGCTACCTTCCCAACCAACTATGTGCACCCTGCTGGAAAAGGGGCGTAGGAGTGTGTAACATAACAACCTGCGCTTGTTCTGAAGGGCAGTGGGTGGGTGGGAGGCAACATCCCATAGCACCTAAACATCCACATTTATTGGATAAGAGCCAGTGCAGCCGCAAGTAGACATCCACTTGTACAGCTCAGATTTTCCACCAACCTGCATCAATAAAACTCCACCACCTCTAACCCATCATTATCCACATACCTCCCAAAGTTCCCCCCGAAGGCCCAATTCTCAAACCCACCATCGCCATAGTTCCAGATCTTGAACGAGCCCTGCTTGTAATACACCACAAAAGGCGAGTTAAACCAAAAGTGGGCCACCTCGACGGTGGCCCACATCGGCTCGCCCTCCCAACGGCCCTGGATATTCCGAATCACCATCACGCGTTCATGAAAATCTCCATCATTTTCTGAGTCACTTCTTCGTCGGTCTGCCCGTCAATGAATCCCAGGTTCCCTGACATGACTTGCTCCGTGGTCACCCCATCCCAGCTGAATAGCTTCCGCTCCACCCTGTGCGGAGATCCCAAGGTCGATCCGGATGAGGAGCCGAGAATGTCGCCGGTGACGCCGGCTGCTGCAGCGGAAGACGACGCCTGCAGCATGGGCCGTGCTGCGCTGGCGCTGGTGATGGCGAGGAGCACGAGGAGGGCGAGAGGCAGCAGCTGGCGAGCTGCATGTAGCCACGAGTTAGGTGCGGCCATTGAAAAGCTGTTGCAATTGGACTTAGAGAACGAATTTGCGATAGGGTTTAGGATGTAACGCACCTGAGATGTGAACGTGCAGTTCCGCTGCGCCTCTCTGCTAACCTCGTTTTGACCCAGTGGGTAGCGAGGCATTATACTGGTATCAGAGCCTAGGGTTCGAATCTCAGCTGGTCACATTTTCCGCCCTCGGCGAGAATTTGAATGTGTAACCAGGGGCGAACCCAACGAACGATCCTGGTAACCGCTGGCTTGGAAGAACCAGCGAAGACACCAACTGTCAATGGCGTACGTGAGATGTGAACGTGCAATTCCGCTGCGCCCCTCTGGTAACCTCGTTTTTACTCATTGGGTAGTGAGGAATTATACAGGAAGCCTCTCACGAGTAGAATTGGAAAGGAAAGTCTACCACAAGCCGTGCGCTGATTGGTATGGTAAAGCTAATCAGATGAGGGGGACGTCGATGGAGATTGATAGTATGGGAGAAGAAGTTGCTCAAATTGTCATGACATTTGAGCTCTAGGGCGTGTAATTTATAACTTCCCTTGCTCGAGGCGAATAGGGAAGACTATTCGTGATTTGCTGGAGCCGCAACAACCGGTCAGAGTCACAGGAAAGGTTGCTGCCGGACTCACGTGAGAGGTACGGGAGAGGTAAGGGAGGATCACACCTTTTGGTATCCTCGTGCACTCCGGACAGAAGAAGGCATTTCTCCGATTGGAAAGTACAGCACCAAACATACAGGTTGCACGGTGGGGTATGGCGTGGGGTGGGGTGGAAGGGAGGAGGAAGGGAGGAACTAGCTCCATTTTGTGCGCAGCTGCCCGTGAGACCCGAAAGGTTTTCGCGTGAACGCGAGACAATCATCAAAATTTAAACTCGTCAGTACAGTTCCGAATGTGTACCGTACTGGGAATGACCAGCCTGCCTAAGAAAGAATTTAGATGAACTGCAGGTTCGACCGACTCGAGCCTAAAAACCAGCTCGAGGAAGGGTAGAGCAAAGAGAATTCCGCAGGGGAACTATGAATTGAAAACTTGGTACCTTAGGGCGATTCCGCAGTGAGTGTAAGACCTGAGGGTTTTGCGGGAAGATCTGAGGCTGGAAAAAATTGCCTCGGGTCTTGCGAAAAACTGACGGCTCCAGCCAGTCAGCAGTCAAACCGAACAACTAACAATGTCGCGCAAATGAACTTCGACCAATCATAAACTCGCAAATTTTTGGTGGACTCGCAAAGTTCGGCCAGTATAGTCGCAACCCCTCCTTGCGACAGTTCGTGACTGTGCAGCCGATGCACCATCAAGAATGTAAACCCCACAAATAGGTTGTGACAACCCGCGGCTCCTTCGGCCGCAGGTCAATCCCGGGTCTGACACTCACTCTGGAATATGTCCTTACATGTTCCCCTTACATGCTCCAAACTTGCCCAATAGTGCAAGCAAATAAAAAGGAACCTCTTTTGGAGCCAAACTAAAGCACTACAGGAAGGGTTTTTTTACATAAGGACATATACCTTTTTTAATACAAACATCCAATCATATTTGAATCTCTTGAATACCAACCCCTACTTAGTTTGTGCTCCTCCTGACCTCTAAGATGCGCCGGAATAGGACCCGTGCACTGTAGCATCCACTGTAGCACTCCTACCATCTCATATCTGGATCTCTGAGTATTTCTCCCCTACAGCACCCGCCTTGTGCTTCTGATCCCTGATATGCGCGAGTGTGGCACGATAGAAACCGTGCACTGTAGCATCCACTGTAGCGCCGTCCATGGCCAGCTCGGAGTTGATGAGCTCTATGAGCCCCTGGAGCACCACAGGGGTCACGTGGGGGTTGCCCTTGTCAAAGAAGTACAGGTACCTGGATGGGTGGGTGGGGGGGGGGAGGGGGGGAGGTGGCGAGGGATCAAATAATGGCAGAGTGCGCATGGCCCTTTGCTGATGGCCTTGTTGAGCTCTATGAGCCCCTGGAGCACCACAGGGCTCACGTGGGGGTTGCCCTTGTCAAAGAAATATAGGTACCTGGATGGGGGTGTTGGGCGGGGCGGGGCGGGGGGGGGGGGGGGGGGTTTGTTGGGGGTGTTGGTGGGGGGTGTTGGGGGTTTGAGTTAGTGATAGTGACGGGATAACTGCGAGACTCACTGTCAAGGATTTCCAGCAGCAGCACCGCATAGGAAGACAGATTCACGCACCCATTGGAGCCAAGCGCACATGCGACAGTCAAAACTGCCTTTATAGAACTTCAGGGGACTTGAGACTCACTTGTTGAGGACTTCCACTAGCAGCATCGCGTGGGAACCAGACACACATGGGAGTCCCCCATGTATGGCACGGCAACCCACACACAGGTGACCTTTGAACAGACAAACCAACTCACTGGTTAAGGATTTCCACTCACAGCACCACATGGGAGCGGGGCACATATTGGAGTGAGCCATACATGAGACGGCAGTCCACATGCACACATGTGAGCTTGAACAGACAAACGAACTCACTTGTTGAGGATTTCCACTAACAGCACGACATGGGAACCGGGCACTCTAGCAGCGGCAGAGAGCTGCTGAGCCGCTGCGTTGGCAATCTTGAGCGCCCGTTTCAAGCACAAAACCACCCTGACAGTGGAGGAATGGATCGGACAAGGGAACATCGAAATGAATGATTAGATTAGAATGCGGGATGAGGCAATGAAGGAAAGATATTGTTTGGACCCAAAAAAACAAGGTGTTTAAGATGGGAAATCGGAGAGGGGCAAGCTGCAAGCAGTGTTCTATCATGAGTCACTCACAGAGCCCTCTGCCCCTCACATCTCTGGCTACCAATGCGTGATACGACTTACCTCTGTATTTGAGCTGGCTCAAACGCTCACTCACAGTGCCCTCTGCCCCTCACATATCTGGATATACGTGCATGTTACGACCTACCTCTCGCCATCCCTGGGCCCATCCTCCTCGTCGCTCCAGAACAGGTGTGCACAGGCGCATACAGCGCGGCACTGGTCTGCTTTCTTTAGCAGCTTGGCAGAATACTGGGGGGAAAGGGGAAAGAGAAGTGGGGCAAAAAGGGAGGGGTGGAGGGGGGGGTTGGGAACGTTGCACAGGCGCAAACAGCGCGGCACCGGTCTTCTTTCTTGAGCAGCTTGGTGGAATACTGTAGGAGCAAGTGGGGAAAATGTACTTTTTTGAGGCCATACAGTCGTTCAAAAAGACGACTTTTGAGGCGCCTCAAAAGTACGCAATGGCCATACAATCGTTCAAAAGGTGCATCAATAGCCGCAAGAGGAAAAGCAAGCTGGTAACTTAAGTGGCAACCGAACCCCTGTACCCTTGTGTGGGAGCGAGTCTCGCTTCTTCTCTGGAAAGACGTGGCAGCGCCATCACATGCACGTTACCTGGTAACCCTATTAGACACCCATAGCTGGCAACCATACCCCTGTGGCCTTGTGTGGGAGTGTGTCTAGCTTCCCCTCTGGAAAGACATGGCAGCGCCATCACATGCACGTTACCTGGTAACCCTAATAGACAGCTGGCAACCATACCCCTGTGGCCTTGTGTGGGAGCGTGTCTCGCTTCTCCTCTGAAAAGGCGTGGGCAGTGCTGCAGCGTTCATATGATGAGGTGACGTGCATGCAGTCACCTTGCGCCTTACTGTCTGGTAAATTCACCTGGCAACCCCACCTGGTAACCCTATCTGCTGGCAACCGTACCCCTGTGGCCTTGTGTGTGAGCGTGTCTCTGTTCTCTTCTGAGAAGACGTGGCAGCGCTGCAGCGTTCCTATGATCAAGTGCAGCGCAGTCACCTGCGCCTTGGAGTCCTGGGGAGGGAAGAGGAGGGGAGAGAGGAGAGGGGAGGGGAGGGGAGGGGATGGGCAAGACGAGAGGAGATAGATGGAAAGCTTTGACCTGAAGAGGGAAAGAGAGAGAACGAGGGTGAATGGAGAAGGGTGCATGCAGCATGCATCCCATGCCATGAAGCCCATGCCATGAAGCCCATGCCATGGCGCCCATGCCATGCATCCCATGCCATGCATCCCATGCCATGAAGCCCATGCCATGAAGCCCATGCCATGAAGCCCATGCCATGAAGCCCATGCCATGGCGCCCATGCCATGCATCCCATGCCATGCAGAACTCAGCAAGGCAGACATATCAGAAAAAAAATAACATCCAATACTTACAAAAATCTCCTCCTTGAAGTTCTCATACACAAGGGTGAACACATCATAGGCAAAGGGCTCCAGGCCGCACCGCACAGAGAGCGATGCAAAACATACATGCAACATACAATTCAACACACATGCGGCAAATCGCATCAAATGCTCACCGAAATCTCCTCTTCATAGATGATTTTGAGGCGCCTCAAAAGCAAGCAGCATCTAATGCTCACATGCACTGGCACCCACTGCTCACATGCACTGGCACCCAATGCTCACATGCACTGGTACCCAATGCTCACCGAGATCTCCTCCTCATAGATGACAAACGCGAGGGTGAAGAGGTCATAGGCGATGGGCTCCAGTCCACACGCACTGGCCACCTGAGCGCACTCTAGAGCCAGCTTGAGGGCCAGAGGAGGCACAAACTCGGAGAGAGACTCCACCACCTGGCAATTGTGTGTGGTGGGGGGGGGAAGGGGGTTGTGGGGAGTAGGGAACTGAGTGTGCTGGCAAGAAGTCTTATGCAATGGGATCCAGGCCACATGCACTGGCCATCTGAGCGCAGCCCAGGGCCAGCTTGAGGGCGAGAGGAGGCACAAACTCGGACAGGGACTCCACCACCTCGGGTGTGCGTGTGGGGAGGGGGTGGGGGGGGGGGGAAGAAGGGAACTGAGTGTGCTGACAACAAGTCATATGCGATGGGCTCCATGTCACACGCACTGGCCATCAGAGCGCACCCTAGGGCCAGCTTGAGAGGGCCATGGGAGGGACGACGGCCACTCTCGTATTCGGAAAAACGGAACAATTATGAGAATGGACACGCTCCCATGACATGGCTAAACGTGGTCGGGATGGCATTGCTCCAAATGATTGCGGAGATTGAGTGGCACATGCAGCGGCCCAATGCCAATCCACGCAATAATCTGGAGCATTGCTATCCAAGCCACAATTAACCACGTCATCGGAAAGTGTCCGTCCTCACATTTCTTCCATGTTTCGGAAGGTGAGCCCTCTCTGTTGAATGTTCATGCCTCAGGCGTGCCTGCTGTCGGTTGTCGTGCTGTCGGTGGTTGTGCTGTCAGTGATCCTACTGTCGGTGGCCGCCTACTGGTCGGGACTCCACGTCCAGGCGTGTTAGGGGGTGTGGGGAGGAGGAGAGAGAACGCGCCAAGGCGCGGACAATGTGTGCACGCACTAGCCACCTGCGTGCACTCCAGAGCCGGCTTGAGGTCGAGAGGGGTGAACTCTGAGAGAGTATCCACCACCTGAAGTTTGAGGGGTGTGTGGGGAGGAGGAAAGATTCTTTAGTCGACTCAAAGATCACGAGATGGGAGGAACTCTGATAGAGACTCCACCACCTGCAGTTTGAGGTGAGTGGGGGAGGAGGAAAGAGGGCGTGCTGAGAATTAACAAGTCATATGCAATGGGCTCCAGGCCACACACACTGGCCACCTGAGCGCACTCCTGAAGCCAGCTTGAGTGCCAGAGGGGGGACGAAGTCTGAGAGGGAGGAAGGGATAGAGATTCCTCATGCAGTAGTTCGAGGCGTGTGTGGGAGGAATGGAGGAGGGGGTTGGACCGCAGCACTGGCACGCACTGGGCGCCTGAGCGCGCAACAGACGAGCGCAACAGACGAGCGCAACAGACGAGCGCAACAGACGAGCGCAACAGACGAGCGCAACAGACGAGCGCAACAGACGAGCGCAACAGACGAGCGCAACAGACGAGCGCAACAGACGAGCGCAACAGACGAGCGCAACAGACGAGCGCAACAGACGAGCGCAACAGACGAGCGCAACAGACGAGCGCAACAGACGAGCGCAACAGACGAGCGCAACAGACGAGCGCAACAGACGAGCGCAACAGAAGAGCGCAACAGCAGAGTGCAACAGATGAGTGCAACCGACCTTGTGCAGGAAGAGGAAGAGAGTGAGCGGAGTGACAGCCCCCTCCCCCGCTGCTGCAGCTGCCAGCGCTGCTTGGCTCGCTGCTGCCCCCGCTGCTGCCAGTGCTTGATCCGCCCCTGTGATGCCCTGGGCTAGCAGCTGGTGCACCAGCTGTGGTGGGGGACAGGGAGACGGGACATTCACACGGGGTCACATGGGGATCCATGGGGACTCCAGTGAGCGTGTGGCTATTGAAGAGAGCAGACGAACAACTGGAGATTCCACGCGGTGATACGGCACCGGACAAAAGAAAGGAAAATAAAAAGTCAACGCTTCAAGAGACTGTGGAGACTAGGCCTGCGAATAAACGTGTGGCGAGTATACCTGTTACTACGAGTGCAACAATGTTGATTGAGAGTAACAGCAGGTATATCTGCAACAAGTTTACCCTCGACGAGTGTGCTTAGAAAGAGATTAGCAGTAAGTTCACCTGTAGCGAGTAAACCTCTAACGAACCAGTATACCTGCAGCGAGCAGAAGACAAGCGAGGGGATGGTGAAGCGGAGTCTGGACTGTCCGCCCTTGAAGAGGTGCGTGCGAATGATGGAGAGAATCTGATGGCAGGGAGGCACATGAGGCGAGCAGGGAAGGGAGTGGAGGCGAGCAGGGGAGGGAGTGAAAGAGAGAGCCGGCCAGGCAAGGCAACAGAGATAAGTAACACATTTGCCAGCCTATCAGGTGAATGGGCGGATTACACACCTAAAATTACACTCACACAACCCCCAGTAATGTACTTCAGCGCGGCCTACTGCGCCCAAACCCACCTGGAATGGAACGGTATTCTAGGGTTGGGATTGACCAGCACGTGCACGAGTCGAGCCTCCAGATTCTGCCATGGGGCATGCCACGCCCCAGTGAACCCTCACAACTGCATTTTTTCTTAGGTCCAGCTGTGCAACCAGAATCCCACCTGAAGCTGTATCTAGTGCATCAAGAAACCCACCTGGAACTGTATTCTAGGGTCGGGATTGACCAGCAGGTGCACAAGACGGGCCACCAGATTCTGCCATGTGGCACCACACTGCAACCCCCACTAATGTACTTCAGCGTGCACTAGTGCACCCAAACCCACCTGGAACTGTATTCTAGGGTCGGGATTGACCAGCAGGTGCACAAGGCGAGCCACAAGATTCTGCTCCTCGGAGAAATCGTCCATGTCCAGCTGGGGAGGGGGGGGGGAAGGGAGGATGAAATTAAGGGACAGATGGAGGAAGGGGTGGCATGCGAGCATGAGGGGCCACCAGATTCTGCTCCTTAGAAAAAACGCCCAGCTGAGGGTCCAGCTGGGGGCGGGGAGAGAATAAGAACCACTGAAGAAGAAACAGAAGGGGCAACTCAGAAGTGGTCAGTGCTAAGCTAAAGGTGAGGGGGTGGAGGGGCGTGATGATGCGGGTGGGAGGTGGATTAAGGGGTACGATACGAGTCAAGAGAACGCTGAGGGATCTCCCCTGGGGAGCGTAATTCGGGGAGATGCGATAGGCTGGGACATAGGCAGGGACATAGGCAGGGATGGATGGATGATCATGATGAACGACACAGCAAAGATACCACCTCCCCAGCATGCCACCTCCCCAGCATGCCATCTCCCCAGCATGCCATTTCCCCAGCATGCCATCTCCCCAGCATGCCATCTCCCCAGCATGCCATCTCCCCAGCATGCCATCTCCCCAGCATGCCATTTCCCCAGCATGGCATCGCACCGCACAGTGTTCTTCCAAAAGTACCCCTTCTAAATGCCCCATCTCACCTCATCCTGGCCTGCCTGCCATGCCCCGCCTCACCTCATCCACTGGTGGCACACCGTCCATGTCTTGCGTGAGGTGCCGGACGAGGCTCAGCAGACACTCCACCTAGAAGACGGGGGGGTGGGGGTTGCAGGGGATTGCAGGGGGTTACAGGGGATTGCAGGGGGTTGAAGGGGATTGCAGGGGGTTGCAGGGGGTTACAGGGGATTGCAGGGGATTGCAGAGGTTTACAGGGTGACAGCGGGCAGAGGGAAGCAGAGCGCAGTTGCCAGTTAGAGAGAGGGATGCGTCCATGTCTTGAGAGAGATGGCGGACGAGGCTCAGCAGACACTCCACCTGGACTGGAAGAGGACATCGGGGGGGGAAATGACAGGGCAAGTGTGCACAGGAGTTGTAGGCTTTCTTTTCGAATTCAAAAAAGCCACAGCTGTGCATAGGAGAGCAGCAAAGAGGATCTGGAGGGAAGGAATCTATTTTCGTGGTGCCGCGAGGGTGGAAAGAATCTGACACACAGCCCTGTTTAGGGTCCAAACTCAGATACATGCTGAGCCGTACCAGACACATCCCAACTGAGGCGCATCACTGAGTTTTGGACCCTAAACATGTACGAGTCCTAAACATGTACGAGTCCTAAACATGTACGAGTCCTAAACATGTACGAGTCCTAAACATGTACGAGTCCTAAACATGTACGCATCGAGAATTCATTTACATGTACTAGACACATCCTAACAGAGGCGCATCGCTGAGTTTTGGACCCTAAACATGTACGAGTACCAGACGCATCGCGAATTCATTTACATGTACTAGACACATCCTAACAGCGGCGCGTTACTCACCTTCTCTGGGTCCCCAAGCATGGCGGCGGTGGATGTCGTTGTCTCGTGTTTGACCATGTTCTGTGTAATAACCACCGACCACCAAGCTCTTGTTTGTCTCATGGTCCCAGTGCCCGTGGCCACACAAGCTCGCACCTGAAGAGAAGCATACCTCACCACACCATCTTCGGGTACCCTATATAGGGGTCTCCTGTTTGACCATGCTGTTGTTGGTCTCCTGCTTGGAATGATAACCACTGCCATGCACTCGCTGGTCTCGCACTTCAGGTGCCTTATGACTCTAGCAGAGACTACATGCATTCCACATGTCTTAGCAGCTGCACTGCTCACCTTCTCAGGGTCCCCTTAGGCGTCTCATGTTTGACCATGTTCTGTATGATCTCCACTGCCATGCCATGCTCTTGAGCGTCTCGCAGGCCAGACCGCGTGTCTTAGACACGTCTCAAATGATAAAGCGCTCACCTTCTCCAGGTCCCCTACAGTCGTTCCATGCTTGACCATGATTTGGATGATAACCGCCCACCGCCATGCTCCTTTTCGTCTCGTGGTCCAGACGCACATTAACCATGGGTTAACAAGTCTGAGGAGAAGCTCACACCTCACCTTCTCTCGGTCCCCGATCGTGGTCTCATGTTTGACCATGTTCTGAATGATAACCACTGCAATGCTCTTCTTCGTCTCGTGGTCCAGGTGCCCCATGATCCTCGCGTAGTGCGCACTACATGGATTCGACACGTTTCAACCGAACAGACGCACGCCTCACCTTCTCCGGGTCCCCAATGGTGGTCTCATGTTTGACCATGTTCTGAATGATAACCACCGCCATGCTCTTATTGGTCTCGTGGTCCAGGTGCCCCATGACCCGTGCGTAGTGCGGCAGCTGCAGCACCGTCATCACCCCGCCCTTGCCAAACTTGTCCAGCGCTGACGACAGCAGCGCCACCAGCTGCTTCGTGGTAGGGCTGTCCTTGGTCTGCCGCCTTGCGTCTAAGATCCCCACGCATGCAGCCTGGTCTTTCATAGGGTAGTGGGCCGGAGGGGGGGACGGCAGGAGAGGGAGGCAGGAGAGGGGGGCAGGAGAGGGGGGCAGGGGAGGAGATGCAAGTGGGAGGATGAGAATGGGTTGTCGTCTCGTGGCATAGACCAGCCCCATGATGACCCGTGCGTAGTGCAGCAGCTGCAGCACCGTCATCACCCCGCCCTTGCCAAACTTGTCCAGCGCTGATGACAGCAGCGCCACCAGCTGCTTGGTCTGCCACCTTGCGTCCAGAATGCCAGCCCTGGTGGCCTCTAGAGAGGGGGGGGGGTTCATCCAGGAGGGGAGCACTTGCGTGCGTCTATGGCAACCGAGCAACAGCTCGCATTGATTATTAGGAGCCCTTGTATGATCACCGGCACACGACCTCACCAGCACATGACCTCACCGGCACATGACCTCGCCAGCACATGACCTCACCGGCACATGGCATCGCCAGCACATGACCTCACCGGCACATGCCCTCGCCAGCACATGACCTCACCAGCACATGACCTCACCGGCACATGGCCTCGCCAGCACATGACCTCACCGGCACATGACCTCACCGACACATGACCTCACCGACACATGACCTCACCAGCACATGACCTCACCGACACATGGCCTCGCCAGCACATGACCTCACCGGCACATGGCCTCGCCAGCACATGACCTCACCGGCACATGACCTCACCGACACATGGCCTCGCCAGCACATGACCTCACCGGCACATGGCCTCGCCAGCACATGACCTCACCGGCACACGACCTCACCGGCACATGGCCTCGCCAGCACATGACCTCACCGGCACATGACCTCACCAGCACATGACCTCACCGGCACATGACCTCGCCAGCACATGACCTCACCGGCACATGCCCTCGCCAGCACATGACCTCACCGGCACATGACCTCACCAGCACATGACCTCACCGACACATGGCCTCGCCAGCACATGACCTCACCGGCACATGGCCTCGCCAGCACATGACCTCACCGGCACATGACCTCACCAGCACATGACCTCACCGGCACATGGCCTCGCCAGCACATGACCTCACCGGCACATGACCTCACCAGCACATGACCTCACCAGCACATGACCTCGCCAGCACATGACTTCACCGGCACATGGCCTCGCCAGCACATGGATGACGTAATCAAGCCTGTCGGGTCGCACTCGTGGCACACGAGTACACGGTGCTAAACTGAATGCCTGTCGGTGCTATACTGAATGCCTGGCATTGAAAGCACACGAATCTCACCAGCACTTGGTCGATGTAGTCCAGCCTGTCGGGGTGCACCCGCAGCACAAACTGCAGCAGCGCCAGATGCAGACTGACCACGCCCTTTAGAGGCATCTCCGTCTGCGCCTCCATGACCTAAGGGGGGGAGGAGGGAAAGGGGCGGAGCAGAGTGGCACATGAGAGGAAGCAGCGCTAGGTGCAGACTGACCACTCCCTCGAGGGGCATCTCTGTCTGTGCCTCCATGACCTAATAAGGGGGGTGAGGGAAAGGGTAAGACGGGAAGGATGAGATGGGGGGAGAGGGGAGAGGGGAGAGGGGAGTGGGGAGAGGGGGAGAGGGGAGAGGGGAGAGGGGAGAGGGGAGAGGGGAGAGGGGAGAGGGGAGAGGGGAGAGGGGAGAGGGGAGAGTTGTGAGTGCGAACTCTGACAACGCAGAGGCTGACCACACCCTTGAGAGGAATTTCTCTCTGTGCCTCCATGACGTGATGGGAGGGAAAGGAGGGGGCCAGGAAGAGAGGATGGCAGCACATACAGGCAGCATCATGGCACAGAGCAATCGCTAGGTGAGGCGAGGAAGACCCTGGATCGCAAAGTGTGGCGCCTGACTCTGAGCTCAACAAGAAGTGTGCCGCCTGACTCTGAGCTCAACAAGAAGTGTGCCGCCTGACTCTGAGCTCAACAAGAAGTGTGCCGCCTGACTCTGAGCTCAACAAGAAGTGTGCCGCCTGACTCTGAGCTCAACAAGAAGTGTGCCGCCTGACTCTGAGCTCAACAAGAAGTGTGCCGCCTGACTCTGAGCTCAACAAGAAGTGTGCCGCCTGACTCTGAGCTCAACAAGAAGTGTGCCGCCTGACTCTGAGCTCAACAAGAAGTGTGCCGCCTGACTCTGAGCTCAACAAGAAGTGTGCCGCCTGACTCTGAGCTCAACAAGAAGTGTGCCGCCTGACTCTGAGCTCAACAAGAAGTGTGCCGCCTGACTCTGAGCTCAACAAGAAGTGTGCCGCCTGACTCTGAGCTCAACAAGAAGTGTGCCGCCTGACTCTGAGCTCAACAAGAAGTGTGCCGCCTGACTCTGAGCTCAACAAGAAGTGTGCCGCCTGACTCTGAGCTCAACAAGAAGTGTGCCGCCTGACTCTGAGCTCAACAAGAAGTGTGCCGCCTGACTCTGAGCTCAACAAGAAGTGTGCCGCCTGACTCTGAGCTCAACAAGAAGTGTGCCGCCTGACTCTGAGCTCAACAAGAAGTGTGCCGCCTGACTCTGAGCTCAACAAGAAGTGTGCCGCCTGACTCTGAGCTCAACAAGAAGTGTGCCGCCTGACTCTGAGCTCAACAAGAAGTGTGCCGCCTGACTCTGAGCTCAACAAGAAGTGTGCCGCCTGACTCTGAGCTCAACAAGAAGTGTGCCGCCTGACTCTGAGCTCAACAAGAAGTGTGCCGCCTGGCTCTGAGTTCCCTGCCTGAATTTGAGAAGTGTTGTCCCCAACTGAGATGGTCCGAAATGACATTTCATCTCGCGTTACCCTTGCGAGTAACCCTACGTTTACCCCCCTTAATAACCTCAGCTCCCTCAACAACCCCAAATGCATCAACCCTGTCTCATCCCCCTCAACCATCCCTCACCCCTGTCAACCCCTTCTCACCTTGCTGACTGCCGAGTTGAACTTGGCAAAGGCATCAACCTCTAGGAAATGCGGCAAGGCCTGGAGAGGAACAGCACAAGGGAAGGGAAGGGAAGGGAAGGAAACGGAAGGGAAGGGGAGGGAAGCGAAGGGAAGGGAACAGTTGTACGGTGAGGAACAACGGGCTGAAGAAAGAAGAATAATGCCGTGTGGTGCTGAGAGGCAATGTTGAAGGGGGGACTGGGAGGGTCAGCATAGTGATCCTGGGAGAAGGGTTACAGGCAACTTGGCCTGGGCTGGGGGGTTTGTGGGCGCACTTGTGCCCAGTGCGGACACGGAACCAGCTCTTCTAGCCTAGTGGTTAGCGAATAGGATACTGACAGGCAGATGCCTTCCTCATGAGGAAAGAAGGGCAGGTGAGGGTCAGAGAAGACAATGCCACCGGGCGCTAATGAGACTACACAATGTTGAGTCACAGAGGTGACTAGACTCATCAGGGTGGCACTCACATCGGGGTTCTTATCCATAAAAGTGGATAGTCGGTCCATCAATTGAGACATGATGGTGCGCACATCCACCGTGGGCTGCAGCTCACGGCACGCCTAAGCTCCGCTCCCATCACAGAATGTGATTATAGAGACCCAAGACCGTGATTATACAGAGCTGTCGCACACTCACATCGGGGTTCTTATCCATGAAGGTGGATAGCCGGTCCATGAGTTGAGACATGATGGTGCGCACATCCACAGTGGGCTGCAGCTCAGGGCACGCCCCCAGGAGGGTCTCGAGGGTGTTGAGGTGGAAGTCGTCTGGGAAGACTTGAATGAGGCAGTCCATGAGGTACTGCTGCGCGATCTCGTCCCTGCAGTTCACAATCTGACGTGAAGTCACCAGGAAGGCAGGGAGTCGAGCAGCGGGAGGAGAGAAAGAGATGATGAGTGCACGCCCCCAGGAGGGTCTCGAGGGTGTTGAGATGGAAGTCGTCTGGCAACACCTGGATGAGGCAATCAATAAGGTACTGCTGGGCTATCTCGTCCCGGCAGAATACGGTCTGGGAACGGGCAGGGAGGAAGGAAGAGGCAGGGAATCGAAGGAAGGGGCGGGTGAGAGGAGGGGGAGGATCACGGCACACTCCCGGCAGAATTTGGATGAAGCAGCCCATGAGGAACAGCTGGGGTATCTCGTCCCGTCGGTTGGCGAAGTGAGGGGTGTGTGGGAAGGGAAGGTGGAATGGGGGAGAGGGGAGGGAGGGAAAGGGCGGGGAGAGGCACAGGGAACACGTGGATGAGGCAGCCCATGAGGAGTGAAGGTGGCACGACACACACCATGGAAATAAGGTGGCAGTCACGTCAGATACCACGGCTCACCCACCTGGTCTGGTCAGGCCTCCATGATAGCAGCACTAGAGTATTGCACAAGTCCAGATTCACCCCCCCTCCAGCTGGCTACTGAATCGACTCATAGTCCCCTAAAAGTTCATCAGCTTGAGGATGCACAGCAGCACGGTTGACTAGTGGTACATGTCCAGATGAACCCCCCCCCCCCCTCCAGGCTACTGAATCGACGCACAACCACCTAAAAAAATCACCTCTGTAGGCGGATGCACAGCAGCAAAACGGCTGACCTGCTCGAGTATGCGTGGCAGCACGAGCGTCTTGTACATGTCCAGATTCACCCCCTCCAGCTGACTCAGCAGATGCAGGTTCTTGCCCACCTGGAGAGATGGCAAGTTCAATCAACAGGGAGATGCAAACAGGTTGCCAGAAGAGGATGGCAGGAAAAGGGAAAGGCGAGAGGAGGCAAGGGCAAGGAAAGGGGGGAGGAGAGAAGCGCAAACGGGAGAGGTGAAAGAGGACACCCCCATGCCAACCCAATCCCCGACTTCTCTTTAGGGCCACCTCAACAGGCGAGGACGGCGAGGAGGGGAAAGAATTGCAAAGGAGAGAAGCGCAAAGGAGAGGTGGAAGAAGTGCACTCACCAGATCTCTGAGTTCTCTCCTCCCCTGCTTGCACTTCTCCCTCTCTCAATGGCGGCCCCTGGTGCTAACAGGAAGAACTCCAATTAAAAAAAAAAACTCTTTCTTACTAGCTCTTCATAAAAAACCCACTCACCAAGTCCCTGAGTTCCCTCCTCTCCTGCTCGCGCTTCTCCCTCTCGGTGGCGGGGCCCTGATGCTGCATGCGCACCCACAGCTTGTTCATCTCTGTGAAGTTCTGCAGAAGGAATTCCACCGCATCCTCCACCGTGCCGCCTTCCCTATAAGCACACAGGATGAAGCGCACAGGGGAACGCGCAGGGGCAGATGGTGGAGTTGAGTGCTGGCAGGTAGTACTGACTGAGGGGTGCTGCATGCGCACCCACAGCTTGTTCATCTCCGTGAAGTTCTGCAGAAGGAACTCCACCGCATCTTCTACTGTGCCGCCTTCCCTGCACGCACGCAAGGCAATACAAAGGGAGGCAGAGTGAGTTTGCACTGGTGGGTGGTGGTTATCACCCATCCCTGGTGCTGCATGCGCACCCACAGCTTGTTTATCTCCGTGAAGTTCTGCAGGAGAAACTCCACCGCGTCCTCAACCGTGCCGCCTTCCATATAAGCACACACAGGGAGGCACACAGGAAGGCACACACGGAAGCATGCAGGGAAGCACATAGAGATAGGTACGCAGCAAGAGACTCAAATGACGTGCTGAGTAACCTTTACCTTACCCATCACATCACATTCCAGCTCACCCGCATTCGTCTCACACTCACCCCTCATATTCCGAACCAGTGTCATGCATTTGGTCTCGGGAGCACTGCGTGTGGTGCGCCCTCAGGAGCAGCCCTGAAATCGGATGCTGCACGCCCTTGCACACCGCACCTCACACATCCAAAGCCCCCTTAACCGCATGCTCATGCTCAGCCCTCGTATTCCGACCCGGTGCCGGGCAATTTGTCTCGGCTGCACTAAGTGAGGTGGGCCCTTAGGAACGGAACAGCCCTCGGATGGGTTGCTGCACGCCCTTGCACACCTCAACTCACATTCCCAAGCCCCCTTTACCTCATTCTCACCCTTCGTACTCCGACCCAGTGTCGGGCAGCTTGTCGCGGCTGCACTGGGTGAGGTGGGCCCGCAGGAAGAGCCCTCGGATGGGGTGCTGCACGCCCTTGCACACCTCGCTCAGGTCGCTCAGCACCTCCTTGGCTGGCCCCTCCTTGCTGCGGATGTACACCGCCCCCACCGTGCACAGCAGGTACCTGTGGGGGGGGGAGCAGGGAGGGGAAGGGTGGAGGGGTTTATGGGAAAGGGGGGGGGCATTTCAAGCACCTCCTTGGCCGGCCCCTCCTTGTTGCGGATGTACACCACTCCCACCGTGCACAGCAGGTACTGTTCGGTTCGGGGGTAAGAGGGGGGGTTGGGGAGGGATGGGTGGGGGAATATCGGGAAGAGGGGATGAGACAAAGCACCTCCTTGGCTGGCCCCACCTTGCTGCGAATGTACACCGCTCCCAGGTAGAGGGCTCTGTCTACACCCCCTGATCCTCAATCACATTCACTACCACAAACCACCCACCACTCCCCCCCCCCCCCCTGCTTCCTTCCAGAAGAGAAGAAGAAGTAGAAGAAGAAAAAACTCACAGCCTGGGCACGATGTTGCCTGCGTGCTGCAGAGCTCGTAGAGGTCCACACCGTGACACGGGTGCAGCAGGGAGGGAATGGGACTCACAGCCTGGGCACGATGTTGCCTGCATGCTGCACGAGCTCGTAGAGGTCCACACCGTGACACGGGTGCAGCAGGGAGGGAATGGGACTCACAGCCTGGGCACGATGTTGCCTGCATGCTGCACGAGCTCGTAGAGGTCCACACCGTGACACGGGTGCAGCAGGGAGGGAATGGGACTCACAGCCTGGGCACGATGTTGCCTGCATGCTGCACGAGCTCGTAGAGGTCCACGCAGCTGCGGCCGCGCATCTTGTGCTCGTCCCAGAAGAACGCCTCCAGGTTCTGCAGCTCGCCACACACCACTATGTCTGTCATGGGATGGGGGGCGTTGGAGACAGGACAGCATGCAGGAATGGGTAAATGACACACCAGACATGCGGCTCAACAATCCCTATGCGAGACATGCTTCCAAGTTCTGGCTCGCATGGGGTGATGGGTGAATAAGACATGCTCAGATTCTATCCAGGCAATGTCTGCACTATGTCTTAAACACTTGCTAAAAACGTTACAAGCCACACTGTACAGGAAATCTCTCCAAAGCCTGCCATGTAGGTAAAAGCTGCCATGCGGTGATGCAACCGCGAGTTATGCAACACCAGGGTGCCAATGTGAGACGCCTCACAACACGCATACAGAATGAGGTGACTTTTGAGTCGACTCAAAAGTCACCAGGGTGCCAATGTGAGACGCCTCACAACACGCATACAGAATGAGGCGACTTTTGAGTCGACTCAAAAGTCACCAGGGTGCCAATGTGAGGCGCCTCACAACACGCATACAGAATGGAGAATGAATGCCAGGGAACGAGTTGCACCGAGGGGTGCACCTGTGACCTCACGTTTCACCCCATTTCCACCAGGAGGAACTCGGTGCTGCGTACATAGAGCTCGGAGGTGCACAGCTCAGAGAGCGTCGGAGCATTGGAGCAGAGATTTTTGGCTCACGAATTCCCTCCTACATACATAGCTCGTAGTATTTCTGCGGCGAGAGCTTGGACGTGCGCAGCTCAGCGAGCACAGCACAGAGCACTTGAGTTGAGGGCTTCACACAGATACTTTCTGCCAGCCAGAGTTACCACAACGTACGTACAGAGCTCGTAATATTTCTGTGGGGCGAGCTTGGAGGTGCGCAGCTCAGAGAGCATCTGGGCGGAGTACTTGAGGGCTTCTCGCAGATTGCCAGAGTCCTGACGACGTGGAAACATGGGACCAACCAACACAACAGATGGGTGAACAAGGAATAAATTCGATCCGCAGTAAGCCTTCCGAGAGTAGATCTCCGAGGCTAAGACTAAGTTGGGAACAATACAACAACAGATGGGTACTACACAGCATGGGAGGGTCATTGCTTGGTGGGAAAAGAAAGGCTGGAACAGTGAATACAGAGCTTAGGAGCCTCAAAATAAAACCACAGAACAGAAACATTTGATGCAATGATGGCTGAAACCGCAGTGGTGAAGGTGCGGAGAACTCCAGATTCCGACAGTCCTGTGTTTGTTTTGTGAGAGTGCATGAGCTCAAAACCAAGATTCGCACGAGCATGATCCTTACCAGCGCTCGGCGCATGTAGAAAGCCTGCTGCTTGACAACGTTGAGCGCATCGGCCAGCCATTTCTCCTGCTCCTCTGCCGCACTCAGCTTCACCTCCACCACCTGACGCACGGAGACAGAAGAAAATGTAACGGACGTGAAACCAGAACGGAGTCCTTGATGTTGCAGGGTGTTATAGAGAATTCTCAAAAACACCCTGCAAAACCAGAACGGAAAATGCATCAGACGGGCATTGAAAGCGTCTCAAGACGCCACGCCTCCCAGCCATTTTCTCGTTCTCCTCTGCCGCACTCACCACCTGAGGCACGGAGACAGAATGGCATGTGACGGACTTGAAACCAGAACAAAAAATGCTTCAGAGGGGCATTGAAAACGTGTCAAGGCGTCCCCCAGCCACTTTTCCTGCGCCTCTGCCGCACTCAGCCTCACCTCCACGTCACCACATGACGCACAGGAACTGACAAAGATGCGGTCGCCCACATGGAAACGAAACGAAACGAAACGAAGCCCGCTGAAACCTCACGCAACCCAGCTAGATGCCAGCGTGGCCAGACGGGCTGAAGAGAGTGCCGAGCGAGCGACCAGACGTGACGAGATGGGCTACTCGATTCACAGAAGCCGCTGTGCTGAGCGAACAGCAGATCGCTGGATATAGAATTCTGTTTCGTCGCAAAGTGTTTGTCTAAGACCGGGAGATTGCAAGAGGCGGCCACAAGTGGACCACAGACGTTCTGCGGCTTCGTTAATCAGCGACCAGAACGCTAGACTAAACATATTAACCAGACGCTTGCCTAACGAACTAACCAGACGGCCACAAGCGGATCGCATACGTTCTCTCCAATCTCACCGTGTTCACCATGAGAACTAGCTCGGAGCGACTGGCTACATAATCCGCACGTAAACTGAGGGGAAACGAGCGACGGAGAACGGTCTTATCAAATTATTCGCCTCTCACCTTGTTTAGCACGAGAGCGAACTCGGAAAGACAGGCTAGATAATCCGCACGTAAAGTGAGGGGAAATGAGCGACGGATTACAATCTTATCATATTATTCTCCTCTCACCTTGTTCACCATGAGAGCGAGCTCGAGCGACGGCTGGTCGTATGATCAACCGATGGAAGCTGGGCAAACCGACGCGATTTTCCTACGTTTGCGTCTCCAGCGGCGTCTGGATCAAGCGAACTGAGGATGCGAGCCACGCGAAATAACTACGGCGAGACGACACTCACAGATTCTGTTTGGCCAGGGACAGTTCTCACACTTGAGGACAGCCAAGCAGACACCCTCCCAGGGCCCGAAGAGTTTCCGTTCCGAGGTTGAACTGGTTCTGAGGGGTTATTCCTAATCAGGCGCACAAATTCCAGGTAGGGTCGGATTGGCACAAGTTTGGAGCACAACAGACAGGGCGATGTTGACTGGTATGAGCTGACACCAAAATGCAATGTTCCGTACTCATTTCGTATTTAAGCTGCAATCTGAACTTCAATCTGACAGGTCGACACCCCCCCGACAGAATAAATGGAATCTCTAGAACAAGGGCGGAGGCTCAGAACTTGTTGTTCTGTAGGTGTATGTATTCCGTTTCGTGGTTCCAAGCAGTGTGTCAGGCTTTCGCGCCAAAACTTCTCCCACGCCACAACCAAGGCTGGGTCATGGCTGCTGCTCGGGTGAGGCTACTTCGTCCACACCCCTCCTGTTCGTTGTCTCCCATCGTCTCTAGTCCGACCGTTGATCGCTGCTTCGTTGCGTCCATCCTGAAACCCTAATATCGAGAACGATCCTCGGCGCGATTTTCCTTTCAGGAAACACCTTCTTTCCTCTCTGAGCGATTCACATTTTCCTCCGATCTCGATATAGCGCTGCTGTTTAGCGTTTCGCCTCGTCTCGTTTCGCATAACACACAACTCGATTCGCTTCTCGTCGCCTTGCACGATCATTGACCCCCTCCAGTGACTCCCTGCGCAACCACCCTCCGCACCGCGTAACATAAATAGATCTCCCTCTTATTCCCCTCCGCATCCACCCATCACTTCTTTTCTCCGTGTCTCAGCGTGCCTTCGCCGGCCTGAAGCCAGAAAACGTCTCTGGCTGGCGACTATTCGACGCTAAGGACCAGGTACGCTGGGGAAGGACATGTACGGCAAGGAGCAGGTACGGCAAAGACCAGGTACGGCAAAGGCCGGGTACGGCAAAGTCCAGGTACGGCAAAGTCCAGGTTAGACAAAGTCCAGGCACGGCAATGACCAGGTACTCCATAGTCTGTTAGGGCTAAACGGGAGTCAACCAGAGTGTGGCCGCAAGCTACTGGGCTAGCTTGACGTGAGCGTCCAGGAACCTTGACTGTATATGAGATCAGGAAGGACCAGGTACGACAGTCACCAGGTGTGGGAAGGACCAGGTATGACAAGGACTAGGTACGGCAAGGGACTAGGCTCGGCAAGGACCAGGCTCGGCAAGGATCAGGCTCGGCAAGCACCATGTTCCTTGGGTTTTGAGTCCATGTTTTTCCCCTTTTTTTTTCCCTCAAAAGGCCTCTGCTCGTTTCTTTGTCTACCTGCCGTGCGCGTCTCGGTCGCCTGGCTTCCCCCCCGTCCAAGGAGCAAAAAAACGATGGTCGTTTTAAATGGGCCATTTAGTACGATCGTTCTATACGGCATTTTAAAAAAAAATAAGCGCCGTTTTTTTTTTTGAAAACTCCAGTCATTAATTTATTATTATTCAGTCTAAAAACCCCATGGCACTATCCCTGAGGCATACTGCACTGACTACGACAACATATTCACCATAACAGAGGTGACTTGACTAGAGCTCCCTACCCCTACCTCCCCGCCCCTACTGTCCCCCCGCTACTATTCCTAATCCTCCTCCACTTTCCCCGTGAGCTAAGCTCCCTACCCCTGCCTTCCTCCGGCCCCTAACCTCCCCCCTACTACTTCTACTCATCCTCCTCCTCCTCGCCATCTTCCTCCCCGCTCTCACTCCCTCTCTGCTCCCATGGTGCTTCCCCCTTGCGCCTCTGGTGGAATTAATCCCCCCTGCTCTCACTAGAGCTCCCTGCTTCTTCCTCCTCATCCGAGTCTGCTGCACGCTTCCCTTTGCCCTTCTTGGACCCGCCCATCTTCTTTGCCTGCTTCCCGGCCTTGCCCTTGGTTGACCGCTTCTTTTTCCTCCCCCCGGCTGCCCCGAACTTGCTCCAATCGATGGCACAACCCACGGCATCCTCCCCCTCCTCCTCCTCCGCCGGCTCGGTTTGCTGAGGGGGCGCCTCGGGCACGCTGCAGCCTTCCTTCAGCCTTCTAGAATCAAGGTCGGCATAGAGCTTCGAGCGTAGCTCTAGCCTTAGGTCGAACGTGTAAGAAAACGGGACTTTCATTGATTAAATGAGAGAGGTCGTACAAGCTTAAGTACCAACCATTGGAGAGGGTTGGAAGGGATAAGGGAAATCGGAGGGAGTCCGAAAGGAATCCTCCCAAATCGTGGGGATTTGGGATGCATTGGGTTGGGATAGATTGGGGATAAAAAGGCTACACCCAACCTAACAAACATTCCTAACCCTAAACAAACAGATGAATAACACACCAATGTGCGACATTGCAGCCTAACTCCAGCACACCCCCTAGGCTGCAACGTCTGAAGTTAAAGGGACGCCAAGACCCATAGCACGGAGGAGGCGGTAGTGGTCACGGCGTCCAAGAGATTTGGTGAACAAGTCTGCGAGGTTGCAGTCAGAAGAAATGTGCTTCACGCACAACCTGCCACGCTGGACCAACTCGTGCATAAAGAAATGCTTGGGCTCGATATGCTTGGTCTGTTGGTGGAAGACAGTGTCTTAGGTAAGGTGTATAGTGCTCTCGTTGTCACACCATAGGGTCGGGGTCTGGTGAGGATATTCAAGCTCAGCCATGAGGTAGGTAATCCATCGGGCTTCTTGGGCTGCCTGCCATTGTGCGTGCGTATAGCTTTGCTTCGCAGGACGAGAAGGAGACCGAAGATGATCGGATGGATCGACAGCTGATGACATGACTACCAAGGGTGAAGCACTAGCTCTGGGAAGAGCGTCGGTCAGCTTGGACGTTAGCCCATGAGGAGTCACTGTACCCATCGAGGTGTGGAGGGGACGTGCCACCGAGAGTGAGGACAAAGTCCTTGGTGGCTTAAAGGTAGTGAAGAACACACTTAGGAGCTGACCAGTGGCGATTGGTGTAACGAATGGCAGCAACGTAACGTGAAAGCACGCTGATGGGATAGGCCAAGTCGGGCCTTGTGCACATCATCGCATACATGAGTGAGTCGACGAGCTCAGGATAAGGTGCGCCAAAAGGCTCAGGCGATGGAACTGACGGGGCTCTCAGATTGTGCTGCAAGGGAAACGGTGTAGTCACTGACTTGGCTTTGTCCATTTCGAAGCGACGTTGATCGCGTAGAACTCTTGGGAGAGAGTGATGGTTTGGCCTTCGCGACCCCGCGTGATTTCCATCCTAAGGTAGTTCTTAAGTTCGTGGAGATCCTTCATTGCGAGCGCGTCCCCAAAGGCTTGCTTGACTGGTGCCAGCTGATCGGAGTCCTTAGAGACGAGAATCATATCGTCAACGAAGACGAGAATAAAGAATGAAAAGGCTCGGATCGGCGGTAGAAGGATGAAAGTCGAGTGACTCGAGAGTGGCCTTCAGCTTCTTATGGCATTCGCGAGGAGCCTGCTTCAGCCCGTAGTCAGGTCGATTCAGCTTCCAGACTGTGTCGGGTGGAAAGGGTAAGGGGAGGCCTTGAGGTCGTTCCATGAAAATATCCTCTGGGAGGTCTCCTTGCATAGATGCAGCTGAGACATCCATAGAGTGGACCTCGAAGTTGCCTCGAGCAGCGACGTCAAGGAGAGTGCGAAGGGTAGGCAATTTAGTCTTTGGGGAGAAGGTGTCAAAGAAATCCAGTCCCTTAATCTGCGTGAAGCCTTTGGCACAGAAACGTGCCTTGAAGACCGGAAGTTCGCCAGGTAGCTGTTTGGCAGGAAACACCTGTTTGTTGCGGACGATGTTCACTCGTGGAGGAGGAGAGACATCGTGAAGGAGACGATGTTGTTGCGAATAAATGCTCCACACTCCGCGATCATGGTTGCGAGCCACTGCGAGGAGTGTGGTCCAAAGATGGCTTTATCGTACGTGTTTGGGGTCGGGATGGATGGATTCTCTGAGAAGTTGAGGGTTGGAACGTCTGCAAAATCGGGGATGAGATAGCAAAGTTGGCGAATGGCAGCGCCGATATCAATCAGCTCCTCATGCCTATCCTCCAGCAGGCCAGGCATGAGTGCACCATCGGCAGGAGGAGGCGGATTGAGGGAGATGCGGACAGAGAGAGCGAGAGGTTGGATGGGACCATGAGAACGGGTACGATGAGCGACGAGGGAGGAAGGGGGCGGCGGAGCAGTAGATGGGACGGAAAGGTAGGCACGACCTTGGCGGCGATGCCGATAGGTGACGGGTGCCGCGGAAGAGGTGGGCGCGGGCAGAGGAGCAAACGCTGGAACAGGAGGAGGAGGAGGAGGAGGAGGAGGAGGAGGGGGAGGCGGATGGGGAGGCGGAGACCCTGAACACCGCTATTCGCATCGCATTCGGACTAGCGGACACTTCGGTCAAATCCGAAATCGGCTGCAATTCGCCAAAGATTCGTATAAAAAATTGAATTCGTCTTCGTTTTCATATTTACACCTTTAACGGGCGGCAAATTGTTTAGCTTCGTCGCGCCGATGCAGGGCGACGGGCGACGGCCCGAAACAGGTGCGATGAGCAGATGCGGGACGACGGGTGGCAGGCCGACGTGAGGTGCTGTGCAGATGCGGGGCGATGGGCGTCAGCCCGAAAAGAGAAGTGCCGCGCAGATGCGAGGCGGCTCCGAAGGGAAGCATCGCGAAGATGTGGGGCGACGGGCGTCAGCCCGAGGAGAGAAGCGTCGCGCAGATGCGGGGCGACGGGTGGCAGCCCGAAGAGAGAAGCGACGCCGAGATGTGGGGCGACGGGCGGCAGCCCGAAGAGAGAAGCGCCGCGCAGATGCGGGACGACCGACAGCAGCCCGAAGAGAGAAGTGCCGCGCAGATGCGGGGCGATGGGCGTCAGGCGGAAGGGAAGCGCCGCGCAGAGTTGAGGCGGCTAGAAAAGCTTTGAGTGGTAAGACGCCAAAGCTAAGCTCCAACTGAGTGAGAGGATTAAGAGTCGCTTACGCGAAAAGAGCTCTGATACCATGTAAGAAAACGGGACTTTCATTGATTAAATGAGAGAGGGCGTACAAGCTTAAGTACCAACCATTGGAGAGGGCTGGAAGGGATAAGAGAAATCGGAAGGAATCCCATAGGAATCCTCCCAAATTGTGGGGATTTGGGATGGATTGGGTTGGGATAGGCTAGGGATAAAAAGGCTACACCCAACCTTACAAACATTCCTAATCCTAAACAAACAAATGACTAACACACAAATGTGCAACATTGCAGCTTAACTCCAACAGAACGCAGCGCGAGGGCGCCTGCTGAAGGCGACCCATGTGATGTCAATCATGGTCTCGGGGCTGAGGTTGTTTCGGTCATGCCGCTGGACTCGGGCCACGGCTGACCACCAACGATCGACCTCAGACGAAGTGATGGGCAGGGTGTGAGAGTACGATACTGTTACACCAATTTCCCCTTTCCATATTTCCTTTTTATTTCATTCCTCTTTTTATCCTGATTCATTTGGTCTTTATCTCATCTCATTTGATTTCCTATTCCTCCTTTTCCATTATCCTTTACTTTATCCTGTTATTATAATTATATCACCGACCAGGCTCGGGATGTACTGGCGCGCTATATCTAGCGTAATCCTGCCGTAATCCCTTAAAGCCAATAGCCTCGCGTGGCTATACGCAAGGTGATTCTATTTCTAAAAGGGTCTATTCCCTTTGGATAGGATAAACCTGGTTACCTGATGTATTATGGAACTATAAAAGTACCTTGTACTGATTGATAGTGCAACATTGAGCAAACCTTTCCTCGACACATTCGATCCTGTGACACTGGGAGAGGATCCTCACCGCAAGCTCCTGCAGCTGCCGCACCTCCTCTCCGTGGATGAGCCACCATTCGGTCTCCGACATCCTTCCGCACTCAACCAGATCGGAAGCCGCCCAGCGCGCGTCCTTCCCCCCCAAAGCATGGTGCATTGTCCGGGGTCAGAGTCACGTGCCTCGAGCACGACGTCTACCCCTTTGCGAAGCTCAATGTCGCCCCACACCTTGTCCACAAATTGGTAGAGGGGGCTCAACAGCCACCCCAAAGCATGGAGGGGGTTGTGCAGCTGCGCGTCCCACCTCTTAGGGATAATCTTCTTCACGCTGGACAAGAAGGCAGCTCTGTCCTTCGCTTCCATCAGCTCGGTCTTCTTAATGAAGAAAGCAGCTGCGGAAATGGGGATCGGGTGGAGAGAGAGCGGGGGTTCGGGAAGGGGATCCACCATAGAACGGGCAGAGAAGAAAGCGGGGAGGGGGAGAAAGGCGTATGACTTACCCGCAGCACTAGTCGCCTCGTTGGTCTTCACCATGGCCTCAACCATGAGGCCATAGATCTTGGCCATCAGCAGTGCTCGCGTGTCCACTGCCCGAAGGGCGTCGTACACCAGTTGCATGAGCCGGAGTACAATGTTCACGGACTCCCATAACTTCTCCTCCAGCAGCATCGCCCGAATCTCCTGACCCTCCTTTGTCCCACTGACGGCTACCCCCTTCCACTCATTCCTCGCTAATCACAAGCCGCAGCAAAGACTCCTTCACAGCAAGGAACTGGGTGATCATTATCACCTAGGTTCCAAAACGAGTGGCTACGGGTTTGATCAGTTCGAGCTGGCTGAAAATCTTCCTAAAGAGATTGACGGCGCTCGCATTGTTCTTAACCATCATCACTGCCTGCTGCGCCTCCGCTAGCACCTTTTGCACGACGGGGATGCCCCCAATGTTAGTCAGCATCAGATCTAGGCAATGCGCGGGCACAGTTGGTGAAAAACCTGGCCGGAAAGCCCTCCTTCAAAAGGCTGGCCGCTTTCTTATTGCTGCTTGCATTGTCCATCACGCACTGGACAACAGCTTTGTCGCTGACTTCGCAGATGGCTTTGCGGATCAAGGCCGCCAAGTAAGACCCTGTCTTCTTGGCGGTCTTATAGACCACTACATCAATGAGCACCGGGCCGCTCTCGTTTTGCGCGATGATGCATACGATGGCGCGGCTCTACGAGCACGACCAGCCGCCGACTGATAAGATGCAGCCGACGGACTTCCAAGTCTCCTTGAGGGGCGACACGAACCCCAAGGGAACGGCCTTCAACTTCTGGAGCAGGGGCCCCGACACCTTGTATGCCGAGGTAGCTTGTACGGCTTCCCGAACGCCACTGCCGCGTTCACGAACGCCTGCGTCGCTTTGGACCTGGTGGGTGGGTTAAGGCGGGGACTTAGATCGAGGGAAGTGCTGTGCGTGCCACATGAGGAACGGGTGTTGAAAGCGAAAGACATGCTGCGGGAGCATCAATGGTGATAGGGAGAGGGCTACTCACTGGGAACAGCGGAAGGCCCAGTCATTCTTGGCCACCGCGACGGCCCACAAGTGGTCAAGACGCTCCTGATCCGACATCGCACGGATATCGAGCTGGACTTGCGGCTTGACTGTCGTCTCCTCGCTCGTCGACGTGGAGGCCGAGCCACGCAAAGATCCCGCGGTGTTTCCCTTCTCCCACAGCATCCGCGCGAACTCGGAGGTGCACGTGGCGATATTCTTGGATTTCATGGCCGGGGTAGCGATAAGGTGCTCGCGAATTCGCGGGGCACTTGACGTCATGGTTTGCGTGCAGTGATTACACTGGACCCTAACGAGTTTACCGTCGTCATCAAACGTGCGTGTTCCCACAAGCGAGAAGGAGTCCGCGGCATGGCCGAACTCTGGTTGAGAGTGCTGCTGCTAGCACTGATTGAGCTAGCTAAGATTCCTAGTCTCTGGAATTTGGGATGTACTCACCTGTTCTGTCGTGCTCCACATTTCTATGTGCTCAACTCGGCAAAAATCGTGAAGGCCGTTTGATGAAGTCGTTGGTAAGGGTGCACACCTCTGGGGGGATTGGGAAATTCGCGACACGACAGGTTCGCGATGTGTTGCGTACATCGCGAACTCATTTTTCAGGCACGAAACTGTACACCAGGTCACTCGCAACAGCGGGGTACAGTTCGCAACGGCTCCGCGAATTGGATCCAATCCGCGGCTCAACATTGGCGCCAAGTTGCATTTCGTCGGAAAATTGTGTCAGTGCGAATCGGACTTTGGAGCGACACCAAAATCAAGTCGGCCAAACCGACATATGTGGTGTACGTCGACAATTGTTGGGTACAAGAAAAACGATCGTATAAAACGATCGTTTTTTTGCACCACATCAGAAAATCGTTTTAAACGAACAAATCTTACGATATCGTTTAAAACGACAGAAATTTGAAAAAAACACCGTTTTTTTGTGCCTTACCCCCGTCAGTGGGGACAAACCCGTCCAAGCTGGACAAACCCATCGACTCGCCTAGCCAAGCTGGTGGTACACCACCCATCCACCCATGTCCACCCAAATCCTACTCCCTGCCACTCTGCCTCTGCTTTTCAGGTTCTCGGTCGCCTGGCGTCAAGGCTGTCAGTGGTGCTGCAGGGGAAGGACAAGCCCATCTACTCGCCTAGTGTGGATAAGGGGGATGTGTGCATTGTGGTGAATGCAGGTCAGTGCCCTTTACCTAAGTTTGTTGATTAGCAACCTTTGTGCGGGGAAGACGGTGGTGCTGCAGGGAAAGGACAAGCCCATCTACTCGTCGAGTGTGGATGAGGGCGATATGTGCATCGTTGTGAATGCAGGTCAGTGCCCGTTACGCAGACCCTTGCCTATAGGTACCCCCATGCGAGCCCATGCACGTTGTGGTAGCGTGTCTCTCAAGGCTCTGCTGCAGGGGAAGGACAAGCCCATCTACTCGCCGAGTGTGGACAAGGAGGATGAGTGCATAGTGGTGAATGCAGGTGAGTGCCCTTTATTCAGGCCTATGTCCAGAGGTTGGTACCCTCATGCAGGCGGCAGGCTTATGTATGATGAGCGTGCGGCTTTCAAGGCTGGGATGCAGGGGAAAGACTAGCCCTTCTACTCGCCGAGTGTGGTTAAGGGGGATGTGTGCATTGTGGTCAATGCAGGTCAGTAGAACAGTATGCAGGTGTACGTGTGTGGTGAGCTCTTTAAGGCTGGGCTGAGCTCTTTAAGGCTGGGTTGCAGGGGAAGGGCGCCATGTACACCTGCTTGGACAAGCCCATGCCCATCTACTCGCCCCGCATGCATCGTGGTGAATGCAGGTGTGTGGTCCTTGATGCACAATCAGGGATTAGCTGGTCTGGTTGGGGTGACATGGCACTTCTTATAGATTCTGCTAAGGTATTGGCTGACAAGGTGCTGCATGGTGCTGACACAGTGAGGCACGGTGCTGCATGGTATTGCGTGGTGCTGCATGCTGCTAAAAAGGTTACACAATGTCTATGCATCCATGATTGGGAGATCAGTCCGTTCTCACAATGCATTTGTCCATGGCGTCTGGGCATGATATCCATGCCTGCCTGCCTGCATGCATTCATTCGTGCGTCCATGCACGCATGTGTGTGCATGTCTGTTCGTGTATGCCCATGTGTGTGCATGTCTGTTCGTGTATGCCCATGTGTGTGCATGCCTGTTCGTGTATGCCCATGTGTGTGCATGTCTGTTCGTGTATGCCCATGTGTGTGCATTTCTGTTCGTGTATGCCCATGTGTGTGCATGTCTGTTCGTGTATGCCCATGTGTGAGCATGTCTGTTCGTGTATGCCCATGTGTGAGCATGTCTGTTCGTGTATGCCCATGTGTGAGCATGTCTGTTCGTGTATGCCCATGTGTGTGTATGTCTGTTCGTGTATGCCCATGTGTGAGCATGTCTGTTCGTGTATGCCCATGTGTGAGCATGTCTGTTCGTGTATGCCCATGTGTGTGCATGTCTGTTCGTGTATGCTCATGTGTGTGCATGTCTGTTCGTGTATGCCCATGTGTGTGCATGTCTGTTCGTGTATGCCCATGTGTGTGCATGTCTGTTCGTGTATGCCCATGTGTGTGCATGTCTGTTCGTGTATGCCCATGTGTGTGCATGTCTGTTTGTGTGTGCTCATGTGTGTGCATGTCTGTTCGTGTATGCCCATGTGTGTGCATGTCTGTTCGTGTATGCCCATGTGTGTGCAGATAAGATAGCAGTGACGGGAGACAAGATGCGGCAGAAGACATACAGATGGCACACAGGGTGAGTTGGGCGGCACACAGGGTGAGCTGGGCGGCACACAGGGTGAGATGGGCGGCACACAGGGTGAGATGGGCGGCACACAGGGTGAGCTGGGCGGCCCACAGGGTGAGCTGGTCGGCACACAGGGTGAGCTAGGCGGCAGTTCGGCACACAGGGTGAGATGGGGCGGCACACAGGGTGAGCTGGGCGGAACACAGGGTGAGCTGGTCGGCACACAGGGTGAGCTGGTCGGCAGGGCGGCACACAGGGTGAGATGGGGCGGCACACAGGGTGAGCTGGGCGACACACAGGGTGAGCTGGACGGCACACAGGGTGAGATGGGCGGCACACAGGGTGAGCTGGGCGGCACACAGGGTGAGATGGGCGGCACACAAGGTGAGCTGAGCGGCGCACAGGGTGAACTGAGCGGCACACAGGGTGAGCTGGGCGGCACACAGGGTGAGCTGGGCAGCACACAGGGTGAGCTGGGCGGCACACAGGGTGAGCTGGGCAGCACACAGGGTGAGCTAGGCGGCGAACAGGGTGAGATGGGGGGCACGGCACGCAGGGTGAGACGGGCGGCACACAGGGTGAGACGGGCAGCACACAGGGTGAGATGGGCGGCACGGCACACAGGGTGAGACGGGCGGCACACAGGGTGAGACAGGCAGCACACAGGGTGAGACGGGCGGCACACAGGGAGATGGGCAGCACACAGGGTGAGACGGGCAGCACACAGGGTGAGACGGGCGGCACACAGGGTGAGTCGGGCGGCACACAGGGTGAGACGGGCGGCACACAGGGTGAGACGGGGGGCCCACAGGGTGAGACAGGGGGCACACAGGGTGAGACGGGCGGCACACAGGGTGAGACGGGCAGCACACAGGGTGAGATGGGCGGCACGGCACACAGGGTGAGACGGGCGGCACACAGGGTGAGACAGGGCGGCACACAGGGTGAGACGGGGCGGCATATGTCTTTGCGTCGTGTATGCAGATGCCAATGACTGTGCAAGTACCAATCCATGTATGCGTGCTCACAGGTACATAAAAAGGTTACGAAGAGCGAACCCTGAAGGATCAGATGGCCAAGGATCCAAAAGAGGTCATTGTACCTATGCACCCATGTGCCCATGTGTGCACGTATTGTTGTGGTATCCGTGCGCCTCTGTATGCTCGCAGGTACATAGGCGGGCTCAAGGAGCGCACCCTCAAGGACCAGATGGCCAAGGATCCGAAGGAGGTTCTCCGCAAGGCAGTGCTGCGCATGCTGCCCCGCAACAGGCTGGCGGATGTGAGTTGCCTAGCGGATTTAAGTTGACTACTCGAGTGTTGCCTTAAACTGATGCCAGGGGCCTTGTTTCATTCACAAAGCAGCGCTGCGCATGCTGCCCCGCACCGCACCAGGCTGGCGGATGTGAGTTGACTTGCTGATGGGAGTCGATATTCCAACTGGTATGTGCGTGAGACGGATGTAGCTGTTATTTGCTGGCCCCCAAAATTGAAGCTTACTGCCTGTTGAAGCTTACTGCCTAGCCCCCAAAATTTACTTAACCCTTCGCCCCCTCTCCCCCACAACAAGGCACACATGGCAAAGCTGTTATGTACGAAATACCCGTTTGGCGAGATGCCTGTGAGTGAGGGAAGAGACGACGCCTTAGAGGAAATTGACGGAGAAGAGCCCCAGGGAGAGAAGATGCCAACTAAATTTCCTCTCGTTTTCCTCTCGCTGCCCAAAACCCTTCTTCTTTTTCTTCTTCTGTACCTTCCCTTCTCTCCCGCCCTCCCCCTTTCCAGCCACGCATGATGAAGCTCCGGGTGTTTCTGGGTCCGGGGCACCCGTCTGGGTAGATGCTTGTGAGGGAAGATACCATGACATGTCACTTCCTTCTCCCTCTCCTCCCACCCGCCACCCCATCCCACCTGCCCCCTCGCCCCCCCTTCCCCCTTTTCCAGCAACGCATGACAAAGCTGGGGATCTTTGAGGGCGAGGGACACCCATTTGGGGATATGCATGTGAGGGAAGAGACGATGCCTTGAGGAAAGTGAGGGAGATTAGTCCAAGAGAGAGACGGTGTCCCCTTGGCTCCCTCTCGTCTTTGTTTCATCACCAAAAAGTCTACTGTACCCCACCCCTCCCCCCCCCTCTCCCCCCCCCCCTCTTCTTCCCTTTCCCCTAGCCACGAATGACGAAGCTGAGAATATTTGAGGGTGAGGGGCATCCATTTGGGGAGATGCCAGTGCGGGAAGAGACGATGCCTCTGAGGAAAGTGAGGGAGATGCGGCCGAGGGAGAGACGGGCCGCTGATAAAACCGCTCGTGCTGCTGCTTCTAAGGGCCAAAATTCTGCTGTGCTAGAAGCAGAGGCATAGGCGTGAATTGTCGTAGGCATATGTAGGCTTCCCTTTGAACTGGACCTAGAGGATTTATTGTGTTACACCATCTTTTCTAACTGGACACTCCTCATTTAGTGCAGATAGTGAGGGAGATGAGTTTGGAGGAAGAGGTGAGACGGGCTGTTCATAAACTCCCCATGAGAGCCCCTTTTCAATTGCCGTGGCTAAAGGCGTTGAAGCGGAAGGATATTCTAGATATGAAGATTATTGGATTTTGTGCTAGTGTGAGGAAATGGTACCGTAAACACCCGGATATATTACCCTAGGCTCTTTTTTCGTATACTACCTAGAAAGGGGGATGAGTCTTGTAAGGAAACCTGAAAATAAATTACTCGGGTGTTTTCTCGTACAAATATAGAATTCAAATTTCTTCATGTAGTTTGTTACTCGTTTACATTCCTGACTCGTTGTCGAGTACTCACGCCCAATCTCGCTCTTTTGTGCGCAAACATCAAGCTGTCGCTACATGTAGGAATCTGATTCGTTCAAGTGAGCATTTGATATGGCGGGAAAACCCTTGGGAAACAGATTGGTAGCGATCCGATTCGTCACAGTATCGATCGACGGTCTGGATTTTGTCTCCAGATTCAACATTGTGTGGAAACTGTTGACTTCGTCTCGATTAGACGGGAATTTGCCACTTGGCGAATTTCCACCCCACCCTACGCTTTTGGGAGCGTTCAAGCCCTCGCTGCTCACCTTTCACAATGCTTTCTGGTTTCAATTCCGTGCTACTGTTTCCCCACAGCCCCCTTTCGATTTCCTTCTTGCTCGCTTCCCGCCGTACTTCACATTTGCTGCGGAAATTATGGGGAAAAAAAACGAAGAGGGTCTTAAGCCGACTACACTGAAAAGGGGAGGGTCTTGTTAGTCGATTACCATAATAAAGGACCTACCCGCCAAAAACACCCTATGGGTCCTCAATAAAACCGGTCTTATATCCGGGCATTTACGGTATTTCCTTATCACGCGTTTTAGTCAGTAGGGCGTACACTACTATAACGTGGTTGCCGCACAGCTCTGTCACGGAATTCAAATCGCGGTCCCAAATGTGGCCTCCTGACGAGCTATATGCATTGTTGCTCGCCAGGGCCCTAGATGTCAACAAATATTATTGTCTATGCTAGGTACAGTATATTTGTTATAGCCTTAGTTAGGTCAGTTCTTATAGGGTACATCCCCACCTTTGTAACCCTCAGCCTTCCTCCCTTAGTCATTTTTCCTCTCGACATTCTAACATGGCATCTAGAGCTAGGTCTCGCCCTCTACTCACGCTTCCGCCCTAGCACACCCTAGCCTAGCGCTCCTCACCCCTAGTTGCACGCCTCGTAGATCGTCCCCTCCCCGCCCTCCTCTGCTCGTCGCGTAGCTCGCGTCGGCTAGCGCCAGCCGCCACCAGCTAGTGCCGACCAGCGCCATCCGTCGCTAGCCCGCACCACATTGGCGCCTTTGTTATTCGCCGATCCACCCCCCCCCCCCCCCCTCCGCTCGATCGTAGCACGCCAGCGCCAGCCAGCCCGCCAGCTCGCCAGCACCAGCTCGCCAGCATTAGCTCGCTAGCCCCTGCCAGCAGTTTGCCGCCAGCGCCAGCTAGCCAGCCCCAGCTCATGCCAGCTAGCTCGTGCCAGCTAGCTGCTAGCCGCCAGCGCCAGCACGCCAGCGCCAGCTTGCCAGCGCCACCAAGCATTCACAAGCACCAGCCAGCTAGCCAGCGCCAACTCGCCAGCTGCTAGCCGCCAGCGCCAGCTCGCCAGCTGTTAGCCGTCAGCGCTAGCTCGCCAACTGCTAGCCGCTAGCGCCAGCTCGCCAGCTGCTAGCCGCCGGCGCCAGCTCGCCAGCTCCTAGCCGCCAACTGCTAGCCGCCAGCTCGCCAGCTGCTAGCCGCCAGCGCCAACTCGCCAGCTGCTACCAGCCAGCGCCAGCTCGCCAGCTGCTAGCCGCCAGCTGCTAGCCGCTAGCCGCCAGCTGCTAGCCGCCAGCTCGCCAGCTGCTAGCCGCCAGCGCCAGCTCGCTAGCTGCTAGCCGCCAGCTGCTAGCCGCCAGCTCGCCAACTGCTAGCCGCCAGCGCCAGCTCGCCAGTTGCTAGCCGCCAGAGCCAGCTCGCCAGCTGCTAGCCGCCAGCGCCAGCTCGCGAGCTGCTAGCCGCCAGCGCCAGCTCGCCAGCGCCCGCCCGCCGCTTACCCGCACTAGTCAGCAGCGCCATCTGACTCCATTGCCCGCCAGCTGCCACTGCCAGTGGCGCCTCTCCGCTGCAGCCACTACCTCTGCCACTGCTGCAACTTGCTCTGCCGCTGCAGCCACTTGCACCACCGCCGCGGCCACTGTTGCAGTTGCTGTTGCCATTGCCGCTGTAGCCGCTTTAGCTGCCGCTGCTACCACTGCCACAGCCGCTACTGCCCTTGCAGCTACCATGCTACCCCCCTGCAGCTGCCCCTGCCGTTGCAGCCCACACTGCCACTGCAGCCGCTGTTGCCACCACTGCTGCGGCTCGCCCGTATCCACGTAACCGCCTCCGCTAGCCAGCTCACTGCTGGCCTGCTGCCATCCTCACCTCGCTGCTAGCTAGCCGCCCTCGCTGCCACCGGCTCCTGTAGCAGCCGCCCCAGCTGTTCCTGTTTCTGCCGCCACTGTCTTTCCGGCCGTAGTTGCCAGCATGGCGTCGCCCGGCGTCTTCGTTCTGCGCCTGGATGGGGAGGGGCGGGCAGTCGGTTTTGCCGCCTGGCAGGAGGCAGTTCTCCTTCAGCTCACGAGTCAGCGCGTCGACGACGAGTCTTTGGACGCCCATGTCTCTGGTGAGCTCCCCACTATCTCTCGCCCGGGCGCTCCTGCTCATGACGCGACGTCTGAGCAGCAGGTTGTGCACGCTGCTGCTCGTACTGCCTACTCTATCTGGGTGTCTTGTGACGCCACTGCTCGAGTCGCCATCCTCAGGTGTCTGCCGGTTGCCGAGCACTCCCACTTTGTGGGTGCTGCGTCAACCCGCGCCCTCTGGCTGGCTATCCTAGCTAGGTACTCCACCCCTTCGTCTGCCACTCTTGGTCGCCTCCTCCTCCCTTTCTTCCACCCTGACCTGACGTCGTTCACCACTGTAGCAGACTTACTCGAGCACCTACGTTCTCTCGAGGCTCGCTGGCGTGCGGCCTGTACTGAGGCCCAGTTAGCGCTCGCCCCGCCCCCCCTCTTTGCCACTGTCTACTTGTCACCTGCCTCTGTGATCGCCTAGCCCCTGCCCGTGACGCGCTCCTTGCTCGTCACCCCTCTAAGCTCACCATTGACCTCTTCTCCACCCCCCTGACTGAGATAGAGGACTGCCTCCGCGCTATCGCCGGTTCCACTGGCGCGCCGGCGGTCCCTAATTTTCAGGGCAGCGCTCCCTCCCCAGTGACAGTCCCTGCCTCCGCCTCTGTAGTTGAGACAACAGCAGCTACCTCTGCCCCCAGCCGCTCAACTGGCGGAAGGGGCAAGGGCAAAGGGGGCAAGGATCATGGGGGGTCGGCAGCAGCGGGTGGAGGGGGTGAGGGTGCGGACGGAGAGGGTGGTCAGTCGGAGTCGGGGACTGCACAGCAGCAGCAGCAGCAGCCGCAGCAGTCTTGGGGGCCGGCGGGCCTTGGGGGTGGTAGTCGTGGTGGAGGCCGTGGGGGTTGGGGCCCAGGGCTGTTGGTGCCCTGGGGGTCGCGTGGCTCTTCTGTGAGTCAGGGTGCTGGTCGGCTGCCAAGAGGGTACTGCGGTATCTGGCGAGCACATCAGGACTGGGGCTTGTGCTATGAGGATGGGAGCGAGTGGTGCTCACTGGACACACAGACGCGTCGTGGGCAGATGACTTGGAGATGCTCAGGTCAACTCAGGGCTACTGCTTTAGTCTTGGTGCTGGTGCAGTCTCGTGGAGGTCCACCAGGTCGTCCTCTGTAGCTCAGTCCAGCTGTGAGGCAGAGATCTACGCTGGGGCCATGGTTGCTCAGGAGCTCCGCTGGCTGACGTTCTTGCTCACTAACTTAGGTGAGCAACCTAGGTCTGCCCCGGTCCTGTTTGCTGACAACAGGGCCATGGTCCTCTTGTGTCAGGAGGCACGACTTGAGGGCAGAGCAAAGCACATCCAGCTGCGGTACTTCCTGCTGCGAGAGTTGCAACAGCGCGGTCAAGTCCGTGTAGTACAGTTGGCCTCAGAGGCCAACACCGCTGATATCTTCACCAAGGCACTTGCATCTCGTGACCATAAGCGGTTCTGTACTCAGCTTGGTCTAGCCTCAGTAGCAGCACCTCTCCTTGTATCCTGAGTCATACTATACCTGCCTGTACTTGTTGTGCTATACCTGCTTGTCTTGCTACACTTGCTGACTGGCCTTGTGGCCTCTTGTCTCAGTGGTCAGACTAGTAGTACTGCCCTGAGTTTTCTTATTACACTCATCAGAGGTCGGACTAGTAGTGCTGCCCTGGTGTACTTTTCCTTGTTAGGAACTGCCTCTATCTTGGCTAGGGGGTGTGTGAACAAAGATAATTGTCTATGGTAGGTCAGTTCTAGGGGGTGTATTTGTTATAGCCTTAGTTAGGTCATTTCTTAGAGGGTACATCCGCACCTTTGTAACCCTCAGCCTTCCTCCCTTAGTCATTTTTCCTCTCGACATTCTAACACTAGATTGGTTTTGAGGCATCCTGATCAGGCCCCTGATTGCAGGAAAATTTCCCGATTCAGGAAAAAAACCGGATTGTTACTAGTACCAGCCCAAATTGCGCAGGATTCGGTAGAAGGCATGTCCTGATTTTTCAGCCATTTTTTAGGGCGAATTCCTACAAAGTAGGATCAGAATCAGAAACGTGAAATTCATTCTTGATCCCCTTGCCCGGTCTTCAACGCTAAGACCAGAAACGATGGTGCCACCACATCGTCGCATAGGGACCTCCGATTGGCTGCCCCTACAAACACATTCGGGACAGCACCCAACGAGCGCTAAGCAAGCGCCGCGTGGCATAAGCGTGCCGACACGCGACGTGCAACGAAGCGGAACTCTAAAAAGAGGAAAACCCACATACGGAAGGCGATGGGCACAAAAACGAATTTCGTTTGTGTTTCTGCTGGCTTCGAATTTCGGTATGTGAATTCCTTTGCTCCTGATTGGAGCACACGTTTCCCACCAGTCTGGTTATGCGTGGCGAGGAGTTTGCAACTGTACTGTAAACTTGCGTGGTCAAGTCTGGGCAGTGAAAGTGAATTTTGTGTTGAAAGTGAGGGGTGTACACGTAGGATCCTGCGAAGTATCCAAGGTTCGCACGCAAAATTCACTTGCGATCGCTTTACAGAATTGTTGATCCGCATGTAGTAAAACGGCAAGATCAGAAACATTCTT